GTTCCCACCATACCAAGATGTAATAATATTAAGAGAATCGGGGCTGTGTGCCCTTACGAGATTCGAGGGTCGGGGCTCGAAGCATTAAACCTGCGGCCAGAGCTGGGTGCTCATGGTCACTTGGAGAACCGTGGCCGATGGCGCGATGAGAGATGGTTCCTTCTATAGAGTTCCAGAATAAGAACCCTACGAGGACAAAAGTCAGAAAAAGCTTGTGGGATGGGTTGAAGGGTCGGATTGGTTGGTCCGGAAGAAACAATAGACCCATGATGAAAATTGACCTGACTATGAGTAGTCCTTGGTGTCGACGATCGCGGTGATTTTCCAGTAAGAAGGAACCGCGTGGACCGTGGAACACCTTTGGTCTATCTGTTTCAGATTAGGTGTAATGGCGATTTCTATAAACTTGCTTTCTGTCCATCGGTTTGTGATGATCCATGCCATGATTTATGCAACAACATTGGAATAGATCCATTTAGGCTGCATTTGGATGCGCAGATGGAAATAAAAAATCAGCTTTATAATCCAAATGAAATCACGATAAGATACGATTAGAGGAATTTATCAGATCATACCTTTAATTTGTCACTAAATCTTTTAAGTTCAGTGAAAAATTACTTCCTCTATCATAGCTATGTTTTTTTATATTATTCATATTTTTTCTTTTTTATCCTTGAAGATATAGTGTAAAGGTTAAAATATTCTTGTTATTTTTATCTTTCACTTTTTTATTCAAAAATTATAAAAAATTTTAGAAATTCAGTATAATAAATAAATAAACATTTTTATAATTGAGTAATTGATTAAAATAAATAATTACATAAATAAAAAAACAAATAAATATTATCAATTTTAATTTAATATGAGTATAAATAATTTTAATCTAATAATCATTAAAGATTGATATATGATATTACGTATCTGTTTATTATCAACGTAGTTATACATTGATATGCGACGCTACATATCTATTGATTGCCAACATAATTATATATTGATATATGATATTACATCTATATCTATATATATATATATATTGTCTTATTAATTATTGAAATTTTTTGTCTTGTATGCCCTAAATGTTAAAGTGACCAAATCTCAAATTAGGTATGGGAAAGTATGCATACGAAGTTTTTGGAGTTTGTGAAATTTTTTATAAAATTTAATTTAATAAATTAATATAATTCAATGAAAAAAATTAATAATGTATAAAAATATTATTTATAATTAAATTTGATTAGTGCTTATTTAACAGTAAAAATTATATTAAAATTTTTATTAAAAATATTGATCTAAAAGATATCAAAATTTACAAACTTGACCTATATAATAAGAATTTTTAATTTATCAATTTTGATTTTTTATTTTAATTTTTTTATTAATTTTAATAAAAAAAATTCATAAATTTCACCCAATAAATATTTTTTTTAAGTATGGATGTACATTAAAATGGGCAATTATTAGTTGTTATTTCTAAATAAAAATTTCTAGAAAGGCATTTATTTATATATATTTCCTATAAAAAATTATAATAAAAAATAAAATTACAAATACTGATATTTAAAATTTTAATCTTTTGAATAAGTGACTGTATTTATTTATATATTATTATGTATAATATTGCATTATTTGAACTTTAAAATCTACACATACATATAGGCATAGAGATAAGGCTCAAGCCTTAATTTTACTTGGAAATCAAATCTTTAATTATTATTGTTTTTTTTTTCCTTTTTTTTTGTTATTTTACGCTTTGATAATGAACAATAATATAGTTATGTCTTGTATTTTATTGGTAATTTTAATATTTTATTTAAATTGATATTCTTATTCAATTTTTGGCAAAAATTTTCACCATTCAATAAATATTAATAAAATTTTATAAATATTGTATATAAATTTTGAATTATAATTTTTAATATCAAAATATCACAATTTAAAAATAAAAAAAAATTTGTAAACTAAAAAATTTGAACCTAAACTCATTAAACGACGTCTCGTAAGTGGTAAAAGAGAATTGAAAGTACGCTATTACATAAATTGCATCGATTTATATAATAAAGTTTTTTTCATTAAAAAATTTAAGATGAGATGAGATTTTTTCAGTTCAAGATCAAAGTTTTGTAAGTCTAATAAAATATTTATATTAAATTTGTAAATAATTTATTAAAAAATATTATTAATAAAATTAAAATTAAAATTTTATTAATAAAATATTCAAATCTTATTAATGCAGATAATATAAATTTTGTCATATATATATATATATATATATCTTTGTAATCCAAAGGGGGTCCAACGTTCATATTAGATAAGATCATATATTAATATATACTGACATGATATCAATATTAGATTTTGTAATAATTCATTAAATGGGGACTGTTTGTCACTTCTATCAATGTTGGCTTTAAGACGGGGCATTAAATATGGTTGGATTTTGACATTTATATTGATCATTCAATCTACATCAATTGTGGGACATCTTTATTTATATATATATATATATATATTAAAATTAATAATTTAAAATATAATACGATCACATGATATAAAAATAATACGAATAAAAATTATAAAAAAATATAATTTAAAATTTTAATAAAAAATTAAAAAATATATTTTATATAAATTTTATGACATAATTTGTATATAAAATATGATATAAATATATAAAATATTAATATTTTATATAATATAAACATATAAATTATCAAATTTAATATATATATATACAGTACAATTAACTTAAGTATATTAAGTAGTACTATTTAAAGTAATTAAAAAATAATATATTAATTAATTGTATTTTTTTTTAATATCACCTTAACCAACATTGTTATGTGATCATTGATGCTGTCAAACTGAGCATGCAAAATCTCCAGATTTGATATATGGTACTATATCATACAATGGGAAAGGAGTGGTTGTCATTTCTAAATCAAAGCTGCCAAGCAGGCATTGATTGACATTGCATTATTTTTGCATTGTTGAACATTCAAATCTGCACATTCAGAAACCAGGCTGATAAAGTAGATGCTTGAAGAAGAATGACATGTTTCTGTCTTGTGTTTTTTCTAGTATAAGGCTGTGTTTACCGACAGAACTGGATTATACCCAAGAAGTAAAACAACATAAATGGATTAGTCAAATGGGAATGGAAAATAAATCCTGAATTCTGCCAATAATTATAATAATTATCTAGTAGTTTGAAGTATTGACCATCAATCACCAATGAAATTTATAGTTTGAGATTTTAGATTAGATACGATAATTTTAAATATAATATAATGATTGATATAAAAATAATATAAAAAATATAAAAATAATATATATTTTAAAATTTTAATAAAAATCATATATAAATTTAATAAAAATAAAAAATAATATTTTGTATTTGGCGTGAAAAGAATTATGACATGATATTTTTCAAACTTTACACTAAACAAAAACGATCGATATAAATATATGAATTTTATATTTATTTTAGATAAATTTAATAATTCATGTATTTATATTATATTTTATATAAAAATTATATAAAATTCAAAATTTTCATCAATGACTTTAAAAAAATATTTAAATTCATTAACCTTATTAATCTGCTATTAAAATTTAACAAATTTGATTATTTCAAAATTACATATATATTTACGAAAATGTTCGTATGACAAAAAAAAAAAAAGAGTTCTTTTGACTTTTTAAGTTAAAATTTAAGTCATAAACATTCATGTCATTTTAACGTGACATAAAAACATATTTAAGTCAAATATTTATTTAATTTTTAAGTTAAATTTTAAGTCATAAGCATATTTCACTTATTTAAATCATCAAAAATTAAAAAATGATAACATAATTCATATTTAGTGAGGTTTTGATTCATTGATCTAATAGAGATGATTTTTGTAAATAAAAACAGGTCAAGATAAGATAAATTTTCATTTTTAGAAATTGAAATCGGATCAAAGGAACACTTAAAGAACTTCATCCATCTCATCTCAAGATATGTATAAAAATATATAATTTATTTTTTATTTAATTTTATACTTATATATAAAAATTTATATTAATAAAGTTATTATTAATACTTTAATTTACAAAAATATTATATTTATATATAATTAAAATGTAATTAATTTTTAAATAATATTTTTATGAATGTTATACTATTGAATTGATTTTAAATCAAGTTAGGTCTGTACATGTTATATATATATATATATATATATATATATATATATATGTTAGGTTAAATTTGAGTATAAAAATATAATAATCCGATAACAAAAGGAGTTGGTAAGAACATAAACTCATCTTTACCCCACCTGTTATCATCTTTTAGTTGATGGGTTCTTGTAGTACTCGATTTGATTTCTTTTTTTTTTTATTGGACAATATTCCTCTTTTTTTCTTTTTAATTTAGATATATATATTATTTATTTTAATATTTATTTATATATATGTATTTTATTAAAAAAATTATATTTAATAAAAAACTATATTATACCATAATTAATATGTAATTTTTTATTAAAATTTTTAATTAATATTATACTAAATTAAAATTATTTTATTAATTACTATATATATATGTGTATATTGAGTTAGATTTATATAAAAACTAAGTAGATGTCAGATTAAAATTAAAATCGGATTAAATTATTAAAAAATGGTTGAAATTAGGATAAGTATATATCTGTACGGATGCATTGCCATCTTTAAATGGATGATAATTAAATATATACATTATTTACAATTTAATTAATAAAATTTAATTAATTATTGCTTTTATTAAAAAATTATAAACGAAATTCATTCATTTGTTAAATTCGTCGTGAAAAATATTGACTATAAATAAAAGAATTTTGGACACACAAAAAAGCGCGGGCCATTGCTAGTAATAATGAATTTTACCAACATCATTCCCTCATCTCTATATATTGAAATGAACTCTAGGCAACCGACATCCAAATGTACAATACACCGACATAATATTAACGATGAAGACTGAGATAACTATTCTGTTGCTGTTTGTTTTTGTGTTTGTGTTCTCATCAAAATCAGTTGCATCTTATCCGGTGATTGACGTCGATGGTGACGAGCTCCGGCAAGGTCAAACATATTACGTTCTTCATCATTCCGCGGCACGGCTGGCTGGTTAACAATTGGCAGAGGTAGAAATTATACTACCTGCCCGTACGATGTTTTCCAAGCAAATAGCAAACAGGACTTTGGTGTTCCAGTGACTTTCACTCCTATGACAATCGGGAGTGATGCTGTAGTCGGACCAGAGGACCTAAACATCATGTCCATTCCTTTTGAACCCATACATTGTAACGACTCAACAGTGTGGAAGGTGGTCCGGTTTGACGAACCAAGAGGACAATACTTTGTGACAACTGGTGGGGGTGAAAGGTGATCCAAAGGCTTTATCTAGTCAATTTCAGATTAAGCAGGCGAGTGGTGGTGTGGAAGGTGATCCACTTGCTTTGTCTAGTCGATTTCGTGTTAAGGCATATACATTTGCCTATTGTCCTTCAAAATATTTATGCGGCGAGATAGAAGTATATGAAGAGCGTGGTTTTCGCCAACGACGTCTAGTTCTTACCCGCTATGGATCGCAATTCTTATTTGTGAAAGCTGAGACTCTAAAACAACTTGTTGATGTATGAATATTATCCTAGCAGCAGCTGTAGCTGTTACATCTATCGGAAGAGAAATAAGAAGGCGAGGCTCTGCTTCCCTAAATGTATTGATTAGGCATGTTGTCCATTACCGTCGTTGTTGCTTTTTTTTTTCATTTGAGTTCAAGTTTAGTACTCTACCAACATGCTACGCAGCTGTTGGCGTTGGTGTTGCCTTTGACAAATGTATAAGTACTATTAGTGAAGGAAATAAAAGCTGCTGGGCGGCATTAGCTTTCCCGGTATCTACTCCCTTTCTTTCTTTGAATGTGAGGAAGCTGGAAATTCCTAGTAAAAACCTGAAAGTAGAACAGTAAAAAATACATGAAGCTGAAGCTTCGTGTTGAAAGAGTTAACAGTTAATAATGGATTCAAATCGCGATGCAGTTGCGGTGTAACGGCCGCTATCTTGAGGTAACGCCATCACCCGTTACCGTTATTTGAAAAATATCGGGTGAAAATTTAAATCACATTGATGTCGGATTGTGGTGGCCGCGAAAAAACACTGTAGCAGCGTATAGCGGTCTTAACGGACCGCTATTACTGCTGCTCCATTTAAAATCAGAATAAAAAAAAATTGGAAGCCCCGAAAAAACCTTGACATCAACCTCAATCTAACCTCAAATAAACTCAAATTTAGTCTCAAATCAATCATCAATCCATTACAATCAACAGTTCAACACAAGTAATTACCTTTGTAAAAAACATTGTACATTTTTGTTGAATTTTAATGGGACTGAACTGATCGGTGAAATTAGCCTCTCCATCTTACATCTTCTGTTGAGTGAGGGCTCAAGCGACTCGATTGAAAAATAGACTCATCTGGTCAACAAAAGCGGTTGTAACTTGGTGGTGCGGGCTTCTTTTATGAGCGCGAGCCCCCATTTCCCCCTCATTCGATGTCTTGGCCTCGGAGATGCAGTGTGGGTCAGCCCCTGCTTGGAAGAGATTGAGTTGGTGATTTAGAAAGGACTAATTCCCTGGAAACGGAGTCTTTATTGGAAGGAATTTGGGATCGGATGCTGATGGGTTCAGTCAAGGGCTAGCTGGAAGAAGAGGAAAAAATAGCCAAGAGAAAGATCAGATGGCGCTATGGTGAGAAAAAATTAATGATATTTTGTTTTGATATTTGTATTTTTAATTTTTTTAGTATTAGATTAATTATTATTATTATTATTTTTGTGTACTTAACTAAAAATTGAAAGTTTGATCCCTTGTATAATAATTTAAAAGTAATTTATGATAATAATTTAAAATTAATTAATGTGTAAAAAATTAAAATATTTAATAAAATATTGCATTTCAAAATCATAAAATAATAAATATTTAATAGATTATTACATTTAAAAATCAAGTAAATAAAATATACGTGATATCATAAATTATTTTAAAAATAATAAAATAATAATTTTTATAATTATAATTATAATATTTTATAATATATTATATGAAAATAAAAAAAAATTTACGATCATAATAACTGTAATGATCATAATAATTTTAGTTATATTTATAATCATAATAAATATGACGTGACTAAAAATATAATTACAATCGTAATTTAAATCTCGTATTAATATTTAAAATTTTCACAGCTATCGGAGGCAGAACCCTTTGCACTAATAAAAACATGCACGAAGCCATGATTATTAAATTATTCAAAAGTTTTTTTTTTTTTTTTAATAAGAAGGCAAAGCAGGGATGACGAGGTTAGAACCTATATCTCCTTGCCTTTCTCAAAATCTCTTAAACACTAAGCCTATGTTTGGATCGAGAGGAAACAAAAGAAAGGAAAGAAAAAAAAAAAAAAAAGCAATGGACGTAGGAATTTTTTTTTATTTGAATAAATTTTTAATTTAAAAAGAAAGACAAAAACTCAATAACTTTTCGTTTTTGTTTTATAATTTTTATTTTTTTAATATCTTAATTTGAGAGGCCAGCTATAAAAAAAATTGAAAAAAATTTATTTCTATAAAAAAATTACTATATCTATATTCTTATTATAACATTATATTTAATTATATAACTTACATTTTCTATAAAAATAATTTTTTTATAAATTTTTATATAACATCACAATTTATAAATATTTTATAATTTTTTAAGTCTTAAGAACAAAACAAGTCAAATAATTATCATAATAAATTAAAATGCTAAATTAAATATAAATTTAAAAATAAATTAATAACTAATTAATATATCTTATCATATTAAAAATATTTAATTTTATTTTAAAAAATTTATTTATACAAGTTAGGTTGTATAAAATATATTTATATATTATATATTATTTTATTAAAAAATTATAATTAAAAAAATATTATAATGATTTTTTTTTTCACTATTTATTCAAACATTGGTTGATAAAATTTTTTTTTTATTAATTTTAATTATCCAAACAATAAATATATGTACTTTTTCTTTTTCTTTAAAAAATTTTCCTCTCCTTTCATTATCTTCCCTTTTCTTTATTCAGACATTGTATCCAAACATTGCGTAAATCAAGAGGAGGAAGGCAAATTATTTAAAATTTAGAATCGAAACGTAACGCATATTGTTGAAATTTTCCCGGGCTTTTTCTTCGATGAGAATTTCGTGGGATGATTTAAGCTTTATGTAGTTTCATGGGCGTTTGGATCCTCTTTGCGTTTATCTGGGTGAAGATCGCGGGCTTTTTCTCTGTAAGCTTTTGTTATTTCTTTTGGGGTTAAATTGGCTCCTTTCTCACCGGGAGGTAAAGCCCAGGACGCTGTAATGGTCAACGTCCATGGCTGATTCTAATTCCAAAGCGACCAAATCAATAATTTAAGAAATTGAGAACATTTGAAGGGAATTAAAATTGAAGTCGGTCTAGGGTTTTGGGCTTTTAAAGTTTTAATTTTTACTTGAAGGAAAGATACACCAGGATGAACTGTTCCCTAATTGTTGGCCCGAATGTGAATCAAATTGTGTCGTTTAAAGAGTTTACGTTAACCCAATTTAAATTGAGTTCGTAAAGCCGATAACCCAAGTATCTTCTAGCTGGAACAAGGCAAATGCAAGAAGCAAGGACCGACCTTGACACTTTTTTCTCTCGAAACATGCCTTCTCTGTTTCATAGGATAGAAACAGTGTCGCAATCTTTGTTCTTTCACATTTTTGATCCGATTAATGAACATTGAACAGCGTTAATAGTTTGGTTTTTCTTCTCAGGTTTGAGTCTGATCAACCTTCTTGTTTAACTGCATCTTGCAAAGTGGCGCCAACCATTGTCTCCAACACTCCAAACCGTAAGTAATTTCTTACTAGGACATGGGTACGTCTTAATATTTTCGTCTTAATCTCTTATTTCTATTCCAATATTTTTCTAATTTATGAATTTCTCGAAAATGGGTAAGTCTTAATATTTTTGTTACGTACACTTTGCCAATCTTATTTTTTTATGCTTCTTGGAATCCTTATTGGTGACGCATGTTGTATATGTTACCTGTTTCATTTATGGATTATGGTTTTGGTATTGCTTGACGAGGTGTGGTTTCACGGATTTTGATTGTTTTGATGCAGATGATGGGGGTGGTTTATTTTCTTCAGTGAGGTTGCCGCAAGATAATCCAATGAAGGTTATGTGGAAGCAAGCAGGGCTTTGTTAATTTGGTTCTTGTAGCATCGATTCTATTGATATTACTTATTGTATCATTATTTCATGTTTGGTCTTGCGAATCTTCATTTTCTTTCTTTTCAGGTACTTTCGATGCTTTTTTTTTTGTCTATGTTTACTTTGGTATATCTGTACGTCCATCATCATTTGGATTTTAACCCGCTGGTTATTCCTTCAAGCACGGTACAGCATTTGGATTGACGGTAATATAGAGCTGACAGCTGATCCATTGCTCATTCTTGAAAGGTACATTCACGTGTTATTGAATTGTTAAGAACTTTTCTTTTGCCATATTTGTCCCCTTTGATGAATGAGAGGAAAGACAATCTCTTTTGATTCATTATAGCATTGATATTTATTAATTATGTATGTTCTCAAGTTATTGAATCGTTAAGAGCTTTGCTGCTTACATATTTTTCCCCTTTGAATGAATGAGAGGAAATACAATTACTCCAGTTTTATTAAAGCATGCATCAGAAAATTTGATAAAATAAAATTTTATTTGAAGGCAAATATCCAATCAAGAACCTCTGGCTGGGACTTACTTGTTTTTTTTTTTTTTCTTGCTATATGGAGTTTGAATTATTATCTTGATGTAGAAACACTTCGATTATATAAATTATTTTCTAGGGCAGATACTTATGGCATTATAAGCATACTTATGCTGTTGCTCAGCACAGACATCATAGGAGTATATATGAGGGGGCTGATGCAAAAAAGCATGAGAATGCTATATGCCAGACCTATTATTGATCTGCACGTGAAGATATATTACAATGAGGGAATGGAGCCATGGCATTTGAAGAAAAAATACTATTAGCGGTATGAAGGGAGACATATATTCTCATATGTCCTTCCAAGAAGTTGATAAAGGATGCATATAATATTCTTGTTATAATTCTATTGATGCAAATAATATTCCATGGTACTAATGCTAAAACCAAATGCAGATGTGCCTGAGGGAGCCATAATTGTAAGAGAACGTACAGTACTGAATAACTTGTTTAACTGCTTGTGGTTCAATAAGGTCAATCTCTGCACACCAAGAGACCAGCTGAGCTTTGGCAATCTTGATCATCTTTTGAACTTGAAATGATCATTGAATGATTTCTTGTATGGATCCATCCCTCCTTCATCCAACACGAATACCCTTGTAAACTTTTGTATAATATACCTGTTTGACATAAAAGCACCACCTTTTTCTTCCTTCTTACAAGCCCTGGTCACCTATGTCTTAACGAGCAACCGCCTCCAACGCCAAACTATCCTGCACCAGATTATCTCGTTCTCTCATGTTTGGTTAAGTGACTGTCCTTGAAACAGAGACATGTTACACGTGTACGTGGTTCTTGCTCTCTTAGCCACAAATTTTAGGTTTTTTTTTTTTTTTTTTGCCTTTAGCTACTGTATCTGTATATAATTAACAAAGAAACAATTAGTCAGATAATCAAACGGTCCCCACTCCTCAAGCACAAGCTTTCATGTCTGATTAAATTCACTTTACTTGTCCAAAACATATAGAATAAAGAAAAATATCTAAGCTTTGCCGATTTTTTTGTGCCAAAATGGCTGCAGCCACACTTACCGTCCGGCCTAACCGTCTCACTCCCAGCTCCCCTATTCCCAGACCGCCGGTCCACCTTCCTAACCAACCCCACCCTTCTTTAAAACCCGCAAAAACCGAGCTGTGGAGGCCCGCTATTGTCGTCCACTCCCGGCGAACATTAGCCGCTCGAGCAGGTTCGCGAGCTGATGACTCCGCTTCGTTCGAGATGTCTGTTGAGAACGCACTTAAGCTCCTCGGAGTCTCCGAAAGTGCTTCTTTTGATGATATTATTCGCGCCAAGAATTCGATTGTTGCTAATATTAAGGATGACCAGGAAGCTATAGCCCAGGTTGATTCATTGCCATTTTTTTCCTCAATTATTTAAAATTTTGTGAATTTAAAAGATTTGGGTGATAAATATTGAACCTTTTTTTGCAAATGTTGATAATTTGCTTCTGGCGTTGGATAAAATTTAGTGGCTTAAGTAAAATTTGAGGTTTTGGATGATGATTTTTTTTAATATGAATGAATTTAGCTTAAAATTTTGAACTTTGGCTCCTGGTCCTGGGTATAGCATGAGCTTTTTAGGACTTTCTTGCACTTATTTGCTTTCTCTGTTATATATGATTTGTAAATTTTTACATTTATTTCTGTTTTCAGATATGAGTTTTAGTTTTTGCTTTGTATCCATTGCCTAGATTTAATTTTGTTTGTGCCAATCTCTAATAATCGTTCTTTATGGCATGTGATTTTCCACTTGTTACTGTTATAAATTTAGGATAGTGCCTGGTGGACATTTCCCATTTTTTTAGATTAAACAAGTGCTGTTATATTGTTCAAAGGAAGTGGAATTATGATGCTTATGGTGGTTCACCTATCCTTGTTTGCACTCAACTAAGAAGATCCTCTAGATAAAGACCATCGGATGGTTGGTTTTTTAGATAAGTGTTAACTTATACATTTTCTTTGTTATTATGATTATTTATTTTCCACTGAGCAAATTGGGTCTTGTAAGGTTGTCTATAGTTTTGTTTTCTTAGTATCATGGATTATGTTTTAGGTTGAGGCTGCATATGACATGTTGCTTATGCGGAGCTTAACTCAACGCCAAGCAGGAAAAGTTGTTGACAGAAGCATTCGATATGCAGATGTTAAACCTGTTACTCCTCCTGGGGTGGGATCAATGCCTCAGTGGGTGCAGACAACTGTGAAAAATTTACCTGTTTTGGTTGAAACACCATCTACCGGCGAATTGGGCATACAAGCTGGTGTATATGGAGCTCTTATGGTTCTGACTTACGTGAATGGAGCTTCTACATCCTCTGGGATTCCTTATAATGGACCTGATGTTCCTGGGCTTATCTTAGCAAGTAGCTTTGGAGCTTCCTTGTATTTCATGACCAGAAAGAATGTGAAGTTAGGTAATGAGGTTTCTTGCGTATAGATTATGTTGCTTGCAATAGAATTTTAATCACATGTTACCTTTTTTAAATATGATAGTCTATCAGTTGCTATTTGGGTTGTTTTTTCATCTTAATGAAAGAAGTAAAGAAGGGCGAGTAAGAGAGCAGAGCAGAAAAACCACCTACCGGGAAGAGGGGCTGCTTCTTGTTACTGGGTGAAAACATTGTATATGATGCTGGCAAATGTTGCCGTAGTCCAGGTCAAATTAATGACTGTTTTAAGTCATTTAATTTTATTCGGCTGTTATGTAGGGTATGCTTGTGAAAATTTATTACTAGAAGAATTCTGAATTTCCTTTTATCATGTATAGATGAAGATTTTTAGTGGTTTTATAATGTCCATTGTATTGCTGACACCGTTTCTGCTTCCCTGTCTAGTGATTTGTCAGAATTTTTGGTTCCTTTCTCGCTTCAAGCTAATCTTCTTTACGATTTTCCTTAAGCATGAAATGAGGCTCTGCTATGGAACTCCTTTAAAGCAAAAGGAAGTTTGCCATTGCAATTTATGACCCTTTCTGCCAAAGCATGCCAATACTTTAGACTGCATATATTTTGTGAATTTCAAATTTGGTTCACTTCAGTTTGGATCAAAATATCTGAATTCGTTTCCTTATTTTCTTTTTGCAGGTAAGGCTACAATAATAACTATAGGGGGGCTTGTTGCTGGTGCTGTGGTGGGATCAGCTGTTGAAAGCTTGTTGCAGGTAGACATAGTCCCATTTCTTGGAATACACTCGCCGGCTACACGTTGTTAGTGAATTTATACTCTTCTTGCAGCTCTTGGTCTCTCTGTATCTAAGGTAGGAAGAAGAGGATGTTTTGTAATTTGAATTGTAAAACCTGTAATTATTCATTTGCATGATCATAACCAAGCTTTTTCAGGATGTGTATCATCGCATTCTGTACAAAACTACAAATAGAAGGTAGTGAAACTTCAATCCCTCTGAAAATCTGATAAAAAATTTTGTTCTAACATTGAAGTTTCTTTTGTTTGATGTAGTGTCCCTATTACTTTCATGCATTCCACTAAAAATATTGTTGGTTTTCTATCACTAGCTGTTAGCTAATGCATCGAAACAATGAGCCCTCTTCCTTACTGCATCAATGGATTGTGGAATTATGGTATATGTGGGAGAGTGAAATGAACCCCGAAATAGAATTTTCACTGATAAAAAGTGGATAGTGAAATGGTGAAGACAATTCTTGTACTCGTTTGTCTGGACTGCCTGAAAGGAAACCTGTTCATGTGTTGGAGCTTTACTGCCTTTAGCAATCTCAAACAATACTTCTCCAGTGGCAGTGTCCATAGAGTAGCAAACAGTACCGTATCTCATCTGATAATTAGTGTATTTGTATCATGTTTTTTACAAAAGTTAGTATCACAATTTGTGTTAGTACAAAACACAAAATATATTTTATTAATTTTGTCAAATTCAGATAAGATTTTTATCAAAATTTTAAATCATATTATTTTTATATATGAATTTGTCTCTATTTCCAGAATAAGGTAATGTGATTGTCAGAACCAGTGCCATCATCCTGTACTTACACACAAAAGTTCGGCATGAATTCATACCCCTTTTGTTATGAGAGTCCTTTTCATACAGCCAACAAAATGAGAGCGGCAAATCTGATCTTGCCGGCAAAGCATAAATAATAGAACAAGCTGTGTCATTGTCCTATGAATTAAATTGTCGAAAGCGAAATGTTCTTATGTACGAGGCTGCAAAATGCCCATATTTGTTAAGATGCAAAACTTGATGGAACCTGAATGTCCTTTGTATTAAGATGCAAATTTTCTGTCTTATTAAAATGCAAAACTTGTGGAAGGCCTCGATCGAAAATTCTAATCCCTTGGACTCGGCCAGTCGTACAGGAAAAATATGCAAAAGAAAAAAATCTCATAGTGCAGCACTCAGGATTTTAGACATGTCAATTTGTTACTCAAAGAAAGTGCATCTTAATATATTTCAACAGCCGTTAGACATGGAAATGTAAATAAATTTGTCTTAGCGAGCTGCTTTGACATGATGTAATATACAAGTAGACTTAGAGAACATTAACCTCATTTTCTCAGGCTTCTTGTTTTGCTTTAATGTCATCTGCTGCCATTTTCATCAGCTTGGGGGAGTCCTCTATGTACGATATGCTACCCTCTTTTTCACTTCGAGTGACAAGGTCATTGTACATCTTTAGCGAAGCCTTTGAGAATTCAATTAGGGACTCAAAAACAGTTGAAAATCCTGTCTGAAATCCATTTAATGTGATTCTTTGTGTTTCTTGCATGCAATTGTGGTGTTTCTCCCTTTCTACCTCCAATCTCTTTCTGAATATATCCAACTGACCCTTCTTCTCTGTAAGATACTCATTCCGCTGTTCCATCTCTGGCTCGGATTGAGATTCAGTAAGCTTGGAGTCCAGAAACCTGGTTTCTGCCTTCTGGAATGCCATAGTCCTTCTGTCAAGTTCTTTAGCCATGCCATCAACTTTCCTCTTCTGTTGCTGTTCCTTCCCTTGCTGAGCCCACAGCGCCCTTACATCCTTAGAGAAGCTTTTCAATGAAAAGGTGACTGCCCTATCTGGCGACTCCTCCATGGAATTTAACCAATTATAACACATCACAAGAAGTGGAGGCCCATTAGCTCCATATGGTGCAGCCGCACTCCTTCCTCTGGAAAAGAATTCAACTTCAGGGACCAGGAACTTGGTTAGCCAACCATGAAGAGCTTCAACGTATGCTTTTTGAGCAGCAACATACTCTGTGAAGCAAGCACGCCAATTTTGAAGCTCAGCCTCGAGCTGAAGCGTAGCAAGTCGGTGAGAATCATTGCAGAATTTTCCATATGCGGGGCAGGCAAAAGATTTTACTTCATTAAGAATTTTGTTTTGGGTTTCATGGGATTCAAGCATAACTTTCCAAGTTAGTGTAAGGCTGCACAAAATAAAAGTAGAATCAAAATCCAAGGGAATTGCGGATGAAAATGAACAAGGCGGTCTGACTCGTTTTCAAAATTTTTACCTACCCTTTTAACAGTTCAACAATTTGAGGCTGTAGTTCTTCATCTCTTAATTTCTCAATTCTCTTTGAGATTGATTCAGCACTTTTTATAGCAATCAAGATTCTGGCATATAAATCCTTTACTGCAACTCTGGTTTTGTCCATAGTGGGCTCATCATACCCCTTCACATCCTGGTTTCTCAGTCGAGAACACTTTCTCTCATAAATTTTCCGTGCGCTGTCTCCAGCCTATTGTAAGTTAAAATGTCAAATGCACAACGGATAAATACAAAGAAAAAGATTAATCAAGTAAGTCAAAGAAAACGTCAGCTGTCTCATTTTTTAATCTTCTGCAGTTTCATTTGGTGCAGAATTTAAGTGACACATGCATATGCTGAGTATGATGCAAACATTCTATCATTGGAATTTGGAACCAAGAGTTCATTGTAGCATCGGCAGTTAGATTTTCTTTCAATGTCATTGCTACAAACCTGGTTTAACTAGTTTGATTCTAATCACAGCCTGTCAAATAAAGCAAAAGTCCTTTCATTTGGAGAAAATTTTTTATGCTTACAACTCATTTTATATAATTTTTAATCCAACGGAAGGTCCTATAAAGAACTAGTTCTTGATATTGCAGCGTTATTTTCGGGACTAGTTATTAATCCCGGTTAGGTAATAAGAAGTGGAAGTGTAGTAGGATAGCTTTGCATGAACCTATGGCAACAGGGTTATCCTTTTTCTTTATTTCCTTCCAGGAGCCAAAGTTATTACCACTACTTTACACATTACACGAACTCAGAAGCCCTGGTAGGAGCAATCATGAATGTTGCAAAAACAATATTCATTGTTAATGGTTTACCTTAACCTCTTCGTAAAGCTTCTTTTCCCATGCATAAAGTCTTCCTAGTGTTAATGAATGGCTTCCTGATTTCATTCCTCCATATTCATCAAAAAGATCATTCGTGTATTCTGTCCATGCTGAACAACTTTTTGAACTGGATGCCACAAGACTCTTACATGATGAAGGCTTAGACAAAGTGGAGCGATGCCATGTAATAGCCTGGATGAGCTTAGTTGAGTTCTCTGCAAGAAAATTAGCAGAGTGAATGATTACTTTTTATGAGATGGATATTAACATGGTCAGATACAGCTTGTGCTAGTGAATAGTGCTTTATTTTCCAAGTTACATATAAAAGCATAGCAGGAGGATAAAGAAGGAATTTTGTGGTGTAATCATAACAATGGAATAACTGAATGTTGGACCCACATGTGCAAAAGCAGGGCATAAAGACTTGAAGATTTCCAGCTTTAGTAAACAAAAAGAAATGATTGCAAAGTTTGATATTTAACATCTTGCCAGAGAGAATGACAAAGAAACAAGACATAGCAAACGCCCAAAGAAACAATGAAAAAAACCATAGTATAGTAAGAAATTGGACGGAAATTTCAGTTAATGAAAAAAGCATTTAAACCCACTTCTGGAAATGGCTTCATTTGCATTGCCGGTGTGAAGGGATTCCACTTTGCCATCATGTGCTTTTGGGACTGGACCCTCCACCGACCATCCAAATGAAGCATATGGAAACAAATTTGACAGGTAATTACAAGTCATTAATGCATGCAGTTAATTAAAACTGTACTTTCAAAACAAAATGACATTAAGAAAATAGACAGACAATCACTATTTACTATACTAGATGATAACTTTTAAGCAGAAGAACACAACAAGAGCCTAATTCGTCAAGGATAACAAAAATTACCCCCACCAAAGATTTTTTTAAAAGGTTTAGGATAAAAGAAATAGTCCTCAGTAGTCGAAGAACAAAAGTTGACCCAAAAGCAAAGGTAAATGCTGGAGATTAAGGGGCTTATTCTACACAAATAAATGGCAAATATTAACAGTATAAGGTCCAAATGTTTTAACTTTTGGAACAAAGGTAGCAGGACAATCGTCAAAAGAAACAAGGAAAAGAAAACCAACTTAAAATTTTAGTCCTAACTAAAAAATGTTGGTACATCATCAACCTTTGAGATAAGCTGGCTTAAAATTAAAAACAAGACTAATGCAAAGCTACCCTGATACATACCCACCTTTGGTTTCCTCCAAACCAGATTGCAAATGAACCATATTAGCCTCTAACATTCTTGATACATCCTTTCCAGAATCATAAGCCCTAATGAAATGGTCCTCAATATCCTTCAAGGCTTCTAAAAGCTCCCTTCCTTTTTCTGGGCTATCAAGAACTGTAAGCCCCTTCGGCTCTCCTTGGCTCACATTATTTTCTTCCTTCACTTTTGCCAGACCACTTTCATTCTCTTCAAGCTTCATGTTAGTATATTTTTCTTCAACAAAGACAACTTTTTTCTCTTCCTCTCTGGTATCTACTTCCTCTTCTAGCTCTGGTATCCCTTCCTCTTCCCTCACCACTCTTAAATCATCATCAGAACACCTGTTATATCCACTTAAAATCTCTGGTCTGACAATATCAAATGGATTAAAGAAGTCCCAACTGAAATCCCTTTGAGGTGATGGCATTGGTGGTGGCATTTGCATATAAAAGTACCCACAAGGTTGTTGTTGTTGTTGTTCTTCTTCTTCCCTTACCATCTCTTCTTTAATCTCCTCCTCTGAAGTATCTGAGTTCATTGAAGAATCACAAGACTCACAAGCAATGGCTTCATGGGTTGACTCTGAAGGTCCTTGTTGAAGGAATATTGGGTTGGTTATCACATTTTGATCTGTGGCTGGTGGTGTAGGTGGGCAAGGTGGAGGAAAAGTGATGAGAAAAGGTGAAGAAGGTGAAGAATGGCGAGCTACAAAGAGCTTAATAGCAGCTGCTACTGCGTAAAGAGCTTGACAATACCTACAATGTGCCTCTGCAAGTGCATATCTTCTATCCACAGCTAGCTTTATGAGGCGGTTTCTTTCTCTGCAAATTGACAAAACTTCTTCTTCTTCCTCTAGTTTAGAAGCAACACAACCCATTTCTCTTGCTAAAGTCTAGAGGTATTTTTTTTCTGGTTTTAACAGGCGTAGAAGCTACCACTTTTGAATATATGGGGATGGGGTAAAGCAAAGAAAGGTGATCTTTTGGAGGAATCTGAGTATTCTTTTCTGATAAAAAGGAGGTGGGGCTGTAACAAAATGGAAGAATGCGTTAGATTTTACAAGGGTTAGAGAGGAGGAAAGAAGCAAAATGCAGCTTTAGGGAAAAAAAAAGTTGGTTTTATTCTTGAAACATAGCTCTTGCAAAAGTCTAAGATTTTCCCATTTCATCTCTTGGCACCATGCACTCATACACAAAAGGAAATTCTATATCCAGGTGGTTCTTTTTCTTTCTTTTATTTTCTCCTTACCTCTAATTTTTTAGGGGGAAAATTAGAAATCTGTTCCTATGATGAAATATTGATAGTTATATCTAAATAAAGTAAATTATTTTGGGATTAGTATTTAACTATCATGAAGAGTGAGATTAACTGATAAGAGAAAGAGTAACTAGAGCAGCAGATGGCCACTAGGCCAGGAAAGAGAATAGAGACGGTAAGGCAAAGTAGGGGCTCGAGAAGGAGAGAGAAGAGAGAGTTCTTGTGTTTAGTTATTTTACACTAAAAAATTGGTGTGCAGCAATGGTAATCTCACTCTATATCTTAGATTTTCAAAGCAGACATATGTCCCATTGGGTAGTCTAGCGAGTAAAAAGAGGAGTCAAATGTACAGTAATTAATTTGTCGTAAAAGGATAGTGACCAGACCACTGCAAACACCAGAGAGAGAGAGAGTGTGTGTTACTGTATTTTTCTTGTTCTTTGAACTGCTCCCTCCTGCCTTCCAATCCTCTAATAATGGGAGTATAATTGTGTTACTTACCACTTGTTAAGGTCTTTAATGAGTTGTTAATTGTGGGAAGCTACAGAAGTAGAAGGTTTAATCTTAACTGTCATTGTCTTTACTGTTATGGACAAATCTGTCCCTTTGAAGTTTTTAGGCCTCCTGTGTCTTCAAGTTAAAGATTTTTTGGCAATAGCATTATATATTTTGCAAGGATTTCGAGTTCTGAGTGGTGTAGTTTAGAAAAGAAGGTTCCTGTTTGGTCCATAAATGAATAATGTGAACGCCAGAACTACTGACAATTCCACATGAACTTTCAGGTTATAATTAGCCTGAGTTAGACAAGGTACCATTGCCATCAGGCATCAGCTTCACTTTGCTTATTTTTGTTGTATAAAAAAAATTCCTGATAGATATGTTGCTCATCCTCAAGGTCTGATATTACTAATCAACAAAATTAAGAAACTAAAAATTCAACACTTGAAAGGAGTTTTTTTTTTTTTTTTTTACATGCATGAAAGAATGATACAGTATATTTACTTATGAGAAAAGTGGAGATTGCATTAAGAAAATTTACACCATGAATGATTCATTCATTCCAACTGGATTTCAGTTCAGATGATTAAACTTTTAGAACAAATGGGAAGAAAAGAAAGTACATAGGACACTGTTGAAAATACTGCTGAGAAAATGCACCGGGAAAGTGGGAAAGGCCCCAAAGTCTGTAGAGATAAAAGAATCAAATCTCAAAATTCCATTTCAAGTCAAAATATTGTTAGCACAATCCCAACAGCAAACTCTTTGCAACTAACTTTAGTTTATCACCTACTGTCATTGCCTTTGACTTTGTTTTCTTGTTTTTCTTTTTTTTTTTTTTTGTTTAGTTCTGTTCCACTCACAGTTCATTGTTTAGGTTTAAGTTGTTTGTTACCTGGATAAACTTTTTTTTTGGCTGCAAATTTCCTACTAAAGCAAAAGCAAATAGTAAAATATAAAGTCATATTTGTTTATTAAAAATAAATTAGTTTCCTATTGAGTTAACATGACACCTTGGTTAGTGCATTCTCAAGAGGCTTAGTGTCGGTGGTCCTTTGGTGGTCTTGCTTTATTTGTTTCTGTTCAAAATAACCTGTAATGGAGCTCAATGGCTTTGAAAATGGAGCCAGTCTTTTTATTTGGTGAAGGTAAGTGCCAAATGCTAATACACATCCATAACTATGTTTTTGTGAGTTTAGCGAGAATATGCCTTGACACAATCTGACAAATGTGAGGAAAAAAGCCTCTTTTCTCACCTTGGAATTACATACTTCCTCCATTTTCAATAACCAAGCTTGATTTGCCCCAAAAAAAATGTATTTCTCACTTTGAAAGGAACAAGAATCAATTGTTGGATGTCAAGAAACAAATAATATAACGACTGGTATTTCTATGCCAGGAGTCACTCACTAGTCAGGATTGAACAAGATAAGAGCTAAAAATCTTAGACAACCTCAACCTGACTTCAAAGTCTTGTCCTAACTAGAGATAACAATGGGTTAGATTAGATCGAATTTTTATTCATCTTAAATTTGATTTAATTTTTTATTCATAAAATTTGAATTTAACTCGATTCAAAAATTTTTTAAAGTTTTTTTATAGTCAAATCTAATCCGATATTATATAAATCGTATTTGACTCGATTTGAATTAAAATTAATAAAATATTATTTTTTTAAAAAATAAAATATTTTTAATATATATATAATTATATAAATATATATAAATAAAATTTTTAAAAATAATTTTTTATATATATCGAATTAAATTTACTTAAAATCCAACGCTGATCAAACCAAAAACTCAGATTTAAAAAAAAAAAAAAAAAAAACTGACCCTATTAAAATTAAGTCAGATCAGAATAGTTGGATGCATGTTTAACTGCCAACCGTAGTCCTAAAACCCACTACTTTATTGGACATGAATGGTTGGGCCGACTCTCCAATTATCATTTTTCTATAATGAATTTTATCCTCATAAAAATAATGTGTATTTACAACCTAAATTCATTTTCCCTATCTAAAAGAAAAACTCCAAACCATACCCGTGTCATGTAGCCCTCAACTTTAAGAGCAGAGAATTCCATTACCTAATTATATGTAGTTCAGGTGACCCATACCGTGGATTAGGAAACCTGAAATGAAATGTGGAGTTGGTCCTGACTCCTAGTTCCATTCCAGGTGATGTAATAACCTCCACCTGCCACAGCCTACCTCACATCAATATAAAATCCAACATTGTAACAGTTATGAAGCAGGTATACATGCCAGGTCTCTTAATGGAAGCTTGAGAACCTAAAATCAATATCTGCATGATGTGGAATTAAGAAACTGAAAAGTGTCAAATGCACCAAGTGGAGAACAAAAGAGAGACTATAAATTATATAAGGAAGACTAAGGAAACTATCCCAAGTAATTAACTATAATAATAGTCATCTTGTACTCTTCTCTAGTTCTTTGTAAGTTTTTCAGCAGAGAAGCTAAATGCAGGTATTAGTTTCCAGTTACAAGTTACAGTGTGCATTAAAGAATTGAAGGCTTGCTCCTCTTATCGCTTTTGGAAGCCACCCGGTATTCACATAAGAAAATGATACAAGAAGGAAAAGCAACGCAGCATGATCAGGTACTGCCAGCTTCTGTTGGCGTGGTACAAGGAGCCAGTGTATTAGGAGGCAAGTTAACTCCTTCCCCTTTAACAGATAAATTAAGACCCCTTACTGAGCTAGCCTTGCTCACAAGGTTTGAGTCAAGAAACACCACAATTACTGTGATGTCATCGTGGAAATGCCGACGGACACCGCGGTCAATCTTCTTCAAGTCAGAATACCTCATTTCTCTCTTTTTTGCAGCTTCTTGTAGAGCAGTTTTTACCAGCCTCCTTGCACTTCCCTGCATAAAGTCCAAAACAATAGAAGTTCATTTTCCCTGATCTTTTGATGCACAATTTTAAGATGAATTTTATGTCATCAATGCAATGCATATGCAACCATTTATCTGTGAATGACTTTATACCTTAAGATCAAAAAAGAAGGAAAACAAACATTACATGACAAACAGAAAGGAAACGGGAACATTGTTCCTCCTCCCTGCAACAGCATTCATTTGTGCATGCATGTGCGTGAGTCACTTCTCCCACGAGTATGCATGCTGTAAGAAAGACTGGAGAAAAAAACTGTGTATTACAGAGTGTATTGCCATTCATATTTGGCTGGTTGGTCTATATTGAAGAAAATGTGAAGTACAAACTCGTGTTCATACCAGTTGACTTGTTCCAATTCAGGTATTTTGCTTACAAATTAATATGGTAATTGCTAAGCAGCAGTAAGAGGATGGGAAAAAATTGAACAAGATGCAGCTGCAAAGTCATGACTCTTCAAGTGGGATGCCATTGCTCAACGACAAGGGAAATATTCTCAAGATAACAAATCAAAACTTCATTAACAACTTGAATTCCAAAATCTATTATGAACGACCAACTTAAAAAAAGCTTTTATACTCTAAACCAAATGAAAGTTTCAGAGTGAAAGGAAAAAAAAGTACATTTTATAATAAGATAAATAATATTTAACATTGAGGCATAAACTTACACTTCGTGGATGATTGTGAACTATATCAACAGCTTCTTGATTGCTTAGGTGCTCCCAGAGCCCATCAGATGCAAATATCAAGAATTGATCATGTGGCAGCAGCTTGTGCACTGATATTGATGGGTCTGCGCTCAATATTGGCTTTTTGAAAGGTTCGCGAAGGCGAAATTTGGGATATAAAGGTTCCCTGTTGAACTCAGCCTTTTTCAAATATACATCACCAATGGATCTGGAAACCTGAAGGGTTGAGAATTTTATCAATAAACACTCTCAAAAAGTAAGAGGCAGCAGAAAAACCATAGAAAACCATAGCAAGGAAAATTCTTTAACTGTTGGACAGATTGCATTTACTCGTGAAATATACTAAACTTCTCTCTCTCTCTCTCTCTCTCTCTCTCTCTCTCTCTCTTTGTTGTGTGTGGGGGATGTTTTTAGTAATCTTATTACAGATACTTCGTGAATGAATTAAGGCAGCGCAGACATTCTGATCAGGTTCAAGGTTTCACAAAAGGTTTCAACCAGTTGTTGCAGGAAATTTTTGCATAAAGGAGAATTGCCTGAGGAACCAATAGAATCACTTCACACAAGAAATTCATAAAATTAGTTGTACTTCTAGGTGCACGTAGTTTTTTTTTTTTTGAGAAACTTTACAATATTTATAAAGATTCCATATTGACATGTGGGAACTTTCTAGGAAGTTTCTCAAACGATTTGACCAAGCATCAAAAACCTCTTTAAACCATCATTTAAGGAATTCAAAGGTCCCCTGTTGGATTTCATAGCCTAGATACAGATTCCTAATCTGAAGTTAGAAAACCCGAAAAGTACTAGAATTAGTCATTGAAATAAGATGTACTTTTGCGAACAAGAACTACTTCTCCAATTTCAAGCAGTCAATTACACCTCCCTTCTACCCCGGAAGGAGGTTCGGCTTGTCAAGAGGTGGCTCCGACCATCTTCCAAAGCCATAATGACTGGGCAAATCAGAATTTATAGTTTATTCTCTCTGTTAAACGTGAAAAGCCACATAACTCCAAAAACAGGAATAACTAAAACCTATCTCATTAGAATATCGCCTTTCACCAAACCTCTCTGGAAACAAAGCTCATACACCTGTATAGAGATGAAAAATTATACAGCTAATGTGATTCCATAATAAAGCCTGAAGTTCAAAAGTAGTCAATTCCAGGATCACCACTGAGCTTATTAGTGCCTAACTTGGAATATATGTATACATGACATCATATCACTTCCTTGCCATGAGATCAACATACAATCCAACAAATTTTTTAGATTCCATAGCTTTATGCAACAGCCAGTAGCACTATTTTATCCCTTTCCATCATCTTTGTAAATTACTAAGTTCTCTAATAATCAAAGGTTTTTCTCATTTCCCTTTCTCTTTTAAAGCCATGCAACCAACTGGAATCAATAATTATAATGGGCATCCTTCCCCTCCATGGCTCCACCCTTTCCTCTCCCGAACATTGCCTTGGAATTTTAATCAAATACAAATATTTTCACTCCAAAAACACTAAAGACCAGTTTTTGGTTTTTATTTTCAAAAGGTATGCGTGTGTAGATGAAACACTGCCTCAGATTCATACCTTTCTCTAAGAATTTAGTATAAATCAAGCTAGCTAAAACAAACTTTTCAATTATTCATAAACAGCATGCTCTATAATGCTCAACTTGGACAAGTAGTGGCTCAGCCTCTCCAAGTGCCAGCAGCACAGATGAATCAAAGTGCTACTTGCTCCTTTTTTTTCACATGGTTATTCTTGTCGAGAAAGGTAATATAAGACACAAAATTCCTCTCACTGATTTTTTTTTCCCCAACCACTTATACAGCTAAAGCAAAAACATGGCTGTTTATAAAATGGTATTACCTACCCATCTTAGCAGTTACGCAGCTATTAAAAACAAAAGTTGTTTGCATAGTGAAACTTACCTGTATGAGACCTTTTACACGCCATACATTGTGCTTCAAAACTACAATTTGCGAGTCATCAGGGTGCAATGACTGCAGCTCCTGTCTTACAGACTCTATGCACGCATTATGCTCAGCTGACAGCTGAATGGCTAGAACCTCTCCAGTTGCCTTCACAGCTCTCCCTAAAACAGCACGGGAATCACCAAGGTTGGCAACATAAAGGGTTCCACCACAGATAACACCAACAAGGCAGCAGGATCCAACAGCTGCAATTTGTGGTTTCATAGGCCATTGGTTGGTAACGAGAGACAAAAAACCCTCTTCTGTTGCTTGATATGCTTTTCGTATTACATCAACTGACATTGTCTGATGCTCTGAAGCGAACCCTGAACATAACAAATATTTCAGAATAACAAACATCACCAATACGAAGGGGCATGAAAATAAGAAAAAATCAAAGCTAAATATGAGGCTCTACAGCTACAAATCACTAGTGAGAGTGTGAGACACAAAATAACAAAAGTGATACTAAAGAAACTATAGCTGTTTGAACTCAGAACAACAAATCCTTAACTATGGCTGCAACAAGTTCACCACACTAATTCCCTTCGATCATTTAATTCTATCCAAAAAAATTCTTATTGACCATTTATTTTTGCTCTACTTAATCAGTAAATAAAGGGCAACAAAAAATTAACCCCAGCAAAGGCTTTGCACTTACGCTTGAGATGTCGAAAGAGATGATCATTGATGTAGCGCGAAGTCTCTGGGCCCCCATGCCCATCATATACACCAACAAAAGTACCATAGGGGCCAGACTCATGTGAACTCAAACAACCAGATTCAAGCTGGCTCTGATCCTCAAGTAAATTGTTGGCCTGAACCACTGCCATCGAGAACTCACCATTAAAGTGCTGCCCTGTGTCCTTGTACCACAAAAGCCCATCTTGGCGACCTCTAGCATCTGAACTTGTGTAAACGAGTCGATCTGACCTTGGCCGAAAACAGGCCCTCAAAAAGTTCATCAACACAGATAACATCCCTCATCTCATCCAAAAAACCTCCAAATTTTTCTCATCTAAATAACCACCAAATACAACTAGGCCCTAGAAACCTGAACGATGATCTGTATCCTCCTTTGCTTCTCAACACAATAATGGAACACTACAGCAACATCAACAACAAAGCACACCAAGAGGTTAGCAACAGTGCAATTTGCAATAACAGCTCAAAGCAATTAAACCAAGAAACCTCAACTACAAATTAGTATCTTCCACTACTCCTCAAGGGACAGCTACCAGCATCAATAGAAAGTACAATAAATTTGATAACTATATAATCAAAATAACTAGCAGATCAATAAATGATGTACAAGAAGCCACCTTTTCAGTTTGTTTTAGTTATAAATATTGAGCTCAAACAACAAAAATGTTCTCTGTAAAAACAGGAAAGTCATGACCATACAGCACCTTATGCTGAAAAAATCAACAAAAAACGAAGGAAGGGATTTTGAAACAACAGAGTCGGTCAAAGCTCACTTTATTTTTTCTAACAAAGTAGTTGGTCAGCCATTAGGATATCCAGAAGGTCTAATGTTTCACATTTGAGACAAACAACCCAGTTTCACATATCCCTTTAGAATCATCATAATTCCACTGTTCTTTCCCACACTAAAAATAAAAAAATAAAAATACAGAAGCTTACCCTTTTGTTAGACTACTTCGGTTTATACTCTAGAAGGAGGATCTGAAAATAGAAAAGGAAAGAACTTCAAGTGGGCACGAAATTGGAATTAGCAGATCTATGGATCAATCAAATCAAAGAAGGGGAAAAAAAGAAAGTTCGGGTTTTGGTTTTTGATTTTGTTGGTTTTAAGTTTTAACTAGTGATGAGATAATTGATGAAGAAGCAAACAACACAATAGAGAAGAGAAATCAAATGGATGAGTTCTTTTTTTTTTCAAAAAGAGGTCTTTTTTATGTGCAAGATTTTGGCTTTGACCTCTCACAACTTATAAAAACTCTCACTTGCTCTCCTTTCTTTCTTTTCTGTCTTTCTTGTTTCTCACTCTAAATTCTGAGCAGACAGAGACCCATAACGGACCAACAATGGAGAGCGTAAAGCCAGCAAAGCAAAGGTCCAGTTTTGGGCTCCACACCCCTATGCTAAGACAGAGAAAATGAAAAACAACCTCGAAAGGGTATAGCTTCAAGAACTTAGAGACACAGTTAATGAAATCAAGTTTTATGGGTTATGATACTGTGCATCATCGCATTAACTTTGTACCCAAGAAATAAGATTAATGAGTCACGCGTGGCAGCATATGCTTTTGCCACGAGCCTTGTTTACCGGTGATTTCATCTTGGTCCACTCGTCATTACACGTGTTAGTGTATCAAAGGATGAAATCTTTGTCCTTTGGCGTTGGTCGTTATTACGAGTTATTGCTAGAGACGGAGTCATGGGTCAAACCTTGCTACGTTCAACTTTAAACTCAAACTCGGTTTTTGTTCGTCTACGGATTTTGACTTAGCGCAATTTCGAGGAAGAGCGGTGTATAAAATTTAGAGATAATTATTCATGTATTTATCATATAAAATTTAAAATTTATATATTTATATCATACTTTATATAAAAATTATATATTATAATTTATTTAGATATAAGAATATATATTTTTTATTTTATTAAATTTATATATAATTATTATTATTATAATTTTAAATTATATTATTTTTATATTTTATTTCGTAACATATTTGTATTGAATTATTTTATTATATTTTAAATTATCAAATTTAAATTAAAATATTATTATTTAAGGGTATTTTTTTGTCATTTAAAAGTCAGGAAGATAATTTTTTATGGTTTGTAAATATGATAAAGTATGGATTTTTCAAACATTGACCATCCAAACAAGTGTGAAAAGGAATATTAAGATTGTTTCAAAGTATAATATAGAAAAATAAAAACAAAAAATAAGACGAATTTTTCAAGGGTAAGCTTTAATGCCAAGGGCAATTCCCTGCACAATTGGCATAAAAAGAATGGTTTAGACAGGTTCTTTAGGAATCTTACGATGAATCTATCACACTCCATCCATCCATAGTGGATTTATACTTGTTTTTATTTTCCTTAAAGTTCCCTGTTATTTTTTAATTCATGCAATAATTTTAAAAAAATATTATTTAATAAATTTGAGATTTAAATTTTAATATTTATAAATTTTTTATATTAAAATAATTAAAAATTTAACGTTTTATCATGTCTCCAAAAAAAAGGTGATTGTCTTAATGCAAAACATTGCGTGCTAACGTGCACATGAGGCACTATCAAATATGAAGTGGTCGATTATCAGGAATTGGGTAATTAGATAGGAGGAATTATCCACCCATCAAATCTCCAATGGTGGAACTGTTGGGTCCATTTTTGCAAGGTCACTTTTCTTCTCATTATAGTGGATTGTTGCACCTTTGCTGAGGCTAACTTGCGCCAGGGATTGCCACTTTCATTTTCATTAGATAAGCTAATCATGCTTAATCAATTTTTAATCAAGAGAGATGGTTTCTTTTCTTTCTGGTTAGCGGTTATTGCTCATTGATCAAATTTTATTAGGGTTGTAAACGAATCGAAAATGAACAAATAAACATATATTTGTAGTTTGTTTGTTTATTTTTAAAGATATTCGTATTCGTTATGAAAATTACTCTGTTATTTACATTTATTCATTTAAATAATAAATTATTTTTATTCGATTCATATTCATTCAATTAAATTAAATGAATTCATTTGTGAACATTAAACGAATATATTTATGATCATATTTATAAATAATAAACAAATCATAATCAAACAAATTTAGATAAATAAATTATAAATGAACATAAAAATTCAAACGAATATAAACGAATGCAAACAAATATAAAAAAATCTTAAGATAAGATTAAAGTAAATGATAAAAATATAATTTTATTAGTATTATTATAAATAAATAATAAACGAACGAGTTTTAATTAAATTTTAAATAAATTTATTCATGAATATAAATGAACTAAACAAATATCTATTCATATTTAATTCATTTAATAAATAAATATAAAAATATTTTTAAAAATTATTTATTAAATTTAATCAACAAATATAAATAAATAAAAATTAAATATATTCACGAACAATCCATCAAAAATTTTATTCATTTACAACCTTTTTCATTAACTTTTGACTTTTGCCTTGCTCTATGATAATACCATTGAGGCATTGACTTTTTTTTTTAACATTAAAAAATTCTGTCATTCTATCATTTCTCTTCATCTATATTTTATGATCGAATTTCTAAAAATTCGTTAAATAAGTCGATATACACAAGATAGGATTAGAATTCTTTTCGCCATGCATCTAATTGAATGATTGAAGCATATTTGTTTGAAGAACTAATTGAGTTGGAATCTTCACTCACTAAAAAAATGCGAAGCACAAAGAGGGCCAGAAGAATAAAAATCTATGCATCCATATTTACACGGCAGTGTGAAGTGCGCATCAAATGTTCCGAGAGAAGTTTTTTTTTTTTGTTTCATCCATAATGGTATTGTATTCGTTGCATTTGATCGATTCTCCGTCGCCAATGTTGTTGTTATTGTTGTTCGATTGTCCTTTCCTTATCCTGCTTCAAAATTCCAGCATGTTGTTGTTGTGAATCATGACTGGTCTGCTCTCTCTTTCTTTAGAGAGCGATAGAGCAATGGCATAAAAGAGTTAAAATCCATCAGAGAAAAAGAGTCGACAACAGATTGTCATTTCATTTTCATTTTCCTGTATTTATCCTCTTGGCAAGTAAATTGTCATCTTGTCAAAACAATGGCTAAATTTGTGGATCTTGTTGTTGCTTTACCCCTTTTGGCTTAGCTGCTTTCTGGTGTGTTAAGAGCTGACCTTGAACTTGGCAATGGGAGGTTCAATTTCAAAATTTAACTATAAGTGCTAGTTAAGATAATATTTCGTGAAAATCGATCGTTCAGTTTAAAAAATATTATTTATTTTGATTTAAATATCTCATATTTTTAATAAATATAAATTTAATTTTTTATACATACATTATAATAGCTTTTCACAAATTTTTAATAAGAAATTGGCAAAGTATGTGTCTTCCAAAAACATTTTGGCTATATTAGACAAAAATGCAACAGAACGATATTTGTTATTTTTTATATATCTGTATTTAAATTTGTTATATTTATAATTTTTGAATTCGTTTAAATATCTATTTAAGTTTAATATTACTATTCAAATCTCAAATCTATTTAAATAAACACTATCTATTTAAATATCTAAATTTATTAAAATATTCGTTTATTTAAATTTTTTATCAAAATATAAAATAAATAAAAATTTAATTTAAAATTCAAGTTCACTGTTAATTAATAATAAATAAGAATTATTTTTTAAAGTCTTAAATTTTTTACAAATATAAAATTTTATATATTTTACATATATAAATGAATAATGGATTTGAATTTAGATATACATTATTACTCATTAAAATTTAAATGGATTCAAATATTAGATAACTAAGGATACTATTTGTATCCATTTCAAACCTTTCACGAATAGTAAATTTCTTATATAAATCCGTTAATTATCTGTTTATAATTATTCAAATTTAATATAAATAAATCAAATAGCGACAAATGCCAATTTATTTATTATTTATTATTATCCCTAATACTAAATAATAAATTATTAGAAAAAACAGGTTTACCTCCACTTATTAGCTTAATATTTGTTCAAATTTTTTGTACTTTTAAAATTAAAAATTCACCACTTTTAAAAATGACCTTTCTCGAATGTGTTTTTTTTAAAATTCTATAGATTAGTACAATATTTTATGTTGAATAGCAAAATTCTTTTGTGAATGATGTGGGGAGAAGTTATGGACAAAGTTGGATAAAAAAGAAGTAAGATTTGTCCCTTTACCTAACCTTAATTTAAAATAAATGCGCAGGACAGGACGGTCCAATCTTTTTGATTGGGGATATTTCTCTTTTTTCTTGTTTTAATAAATCACATACGAAGTATATGGGTTAGTTCACCCCAAATTAAAATGTAAATGTTCAATTTGTTTTACTTGCTTTAGTAGAAGTTTCTCGCATCCAATAACACCATTAAAATTCAATTCAAGGTGTTTTATTATCTAGAGAATGTATTTATAATTATGGAAATGAATAAACAATTCGTATAATCATCTCATTTGAGATTTTAAAAATTTAAATATTGATATAAAATTTAATAATTTAAAATACGATAAAATAATATAATATAAATGTAATATAAAAATATGATATGAAAATAATATGATATAAAATTTTAATGATAATTATATATAGATTAAATAAAATTAAAAATATATATTTTATATTTTTTAATCGATACGAATTTTAATATATAATTTTATTATAAAATATGATATTAAATATTAATATTTTATGTAATAAAAATATATGAATCATCAAATTTATATAATTATTGATTTGTACGACTATTCTATCAATATGCTTTTGAAGCCTCAAATGTACCACGTGAACAGAATGAAACATCCTCACAAGGTCACAAAATTTCTTCGTTGTGCACGCCTTTCATTTGACTTCGGAGGAAAGATTGGATGATTCCAAACGAACATGATCATAGTAGAAATTTTGTAGAGTGAGAAAGGAAACAAATCAAGGAAAAGAAAGCCCAACAGCTTGGCGAATTGCAGTTCAGTTCTATTAGGTCCTACATAAGCTACCTGTTCCTTCCATAAGACAGATAAGTACAATTAATCAAGCAAGTTGCAACAATGGTGGAACCCTTTTTTTTTTTTAAATTTGAGGGAGATGGAATTGAAAGCATTAAATGATAAAACTGATTGGGAATTTTATCTATTTTTCAAAATTTACAAATCATATTATCCAAAATTTAAGTTTATATTGTTTGATTATCAACTTATCGGGATTGTTTTTATTTAAAAATTTATTTAATTTTATATGAAATAGCTATTAAAAGATAAATTATAATTTTATTTAAGTTAAATAAAAAAACAAATGAACGAATCAATGTATAATTAAATAATTCAACGTAAAATTTTGATCAACTTCACATATAATGAATGATTTGATAATCACATAATAGATAGATCACACGGGTGATGGGTCCATATAAAAATTATAATGAAAGAGAAAAAAAAAAAGAATGAAAAATGGTGGGAGAAAGAAAAAGAAGTTTGAATCAGGCAACGGATCATGCG